CGCGCAGTGGGGACGTACGCCTCCCCCCGGCGAAGGTAGTACCTGGAGCCGCGATCGATGCATCATGTAGTCATTGGGTCGATCGATCAAGCGCGACTCGGAACTCGGAGTCTGCTCGTGCAATATACCGGCCGTTTAACCCCTTATACTCCCCGGTATGCAAATTTACCTTTTTAGGGGCTAATATCTGGTCGATGTGGAGTCTTCTCAGTATTAACTGTCCCGGTGAGAATGCGATTAACCAGGAGAGCAGCATCTTTCGAGGAGATTCACATCGAGCGCTTTCGAGAGAAGGAAATTGGAGCCAGAAAATTTTAATCGAGGAAAATTTTAAATCACTTTCTTGTTTTCCGTGAAATAAATGGCAATCTCTTAATCTTAAGAAATCCATGTTGCAAAAGTGGAACCCTTTATAAATATGAATTAATCGAAACGGTTCGACGCCAACCACAGATCGGTGCTTCATATTTGCGAATGGCAAATGCAAGCAATGCCCTCGTTCTGCGAGGAAAATCGAGCAGCTACCAAACTCAGCTCAGAGGAAGAAGAAATCAAGACACCCTGATTGTGTCAGAGCCGCACTCATTCTAAAGTCTGCCCCGTTCGCATTTTCATTCATCTGCCGATTTATTTAATCTGCCGATGATACCGATGTGGCCGATAGTCCGATAGTCCGATACCGGTCTAAGCCGATACATCGGTACGACCCTGACAAAAACGGATCCGTTTAAAGGTAAACGCATCGGGTGCATGTCACCCTGAATCTCCCTGAATCATATTCCATGCCTTTTGGCGGTACCATCTCGTTTCGGAACCGCAGGTAAGGGCACGGGCTGATCGCGACGAAGTGAAGAATGGTGCGAGCCCATCCTCTGCCGACCCTTTCCTCACCTCTATCCCCCCCCCCCCCCTCTTTCCTGAAGGAAGCAAATGGCGGAATACTTGATGATGATGAAAGTTCATTTTCCTACGCGGATGAGAAAGGACAATTTAGCCGAGAATCCAGCCTCCCCTCCCTCCATCGCTCGGCAATCTCCTTCCTCCAGTGCTCATTCCTTCAGACGATGGGAATTGCAGTCCTGGTTAGGTTAGACATCTCGCGGTAGATTCGCTAGTGAAGAGTTCTCGTCACGGAAGAGAGATGTCGCTTCTCTCCGTCCTCCTTCGGGCTCGAGCCTGCATCGAGGATGTCGAGGGAGGAGAACGGGAGGTTTCTTCCTCACCGGCCGCTGTCCGTTGCGAGGTCTCTCCTCCGAGCTTTTCATTTATTGAGGGGATTCCGCTGCCTTCGGACTCCGACGGTCGTCTTCCCATCTCTTTGACTTCCCGAAATCTCTTTAAAATTCGATGAGTCCGCTCCTGTGCGGGGGTGGGGGGTTCTCTGCTTTTAGATCGCATCGTGTGGGAGTGCTTCCATCGTTTCCAGGATTTCGTATCTTCCAGATGGATGCTTTAGGGGATGATTTAATTATTCCCTGGGAGTATGGGTTCCCTCCGTCTCCATCGGCAGGAGAAGTGGAGGGGCGAGTTCGATCTGGGGGAAGTGGAACTTTTTTTTCCCCTCGAGGTTTCTTCTCGGCTGGAGTTGGTCGTTTTTTTTTTGACGAGGTGACGGACTTCGCTTCAGGTGAATCGTCTCCGATGTTTTTCGGGCGTGAAGGGATCAGGGGACCTGGCCATTTTTCTGTTTCACCGGATGGCCGAATATTTTCAGTCGAGTATAAATGGATGAATTTTACAGGTTATGCAGGGTTGAAACTCATTTCGGGCCGACTGATTCGATGATCCTCTCGGGAGAGGGAGTGCCGGATGCCCTCTAATTGGAGAAGAATAATTGTGGCCTTGCACTCTGCGAAAGTCATCGAATTCGCGGTCTTCCAGAGTCATCTAATTCCAGGTCCTCCGCATTCATTCGATTCGAGGCTCTCAATTATTCATTAAATTCTTCGTCCTCCGTATCGAGACCCTCCATAGTCATAGAATTCGGTGCTTCTATCGACCTTGTGTTCGTCCGGCATCCTTGCAACTTCTTCCTTTCTCCCACTCCATCCACCTCCCTGCCATCCACCTCCCTGCCATCCACCTCCCTGCCATCCACCTCCCTGCCATCCACCTCCCTGCCATCCACCTCCCTGCCATCCACCTCCCT